TTATTAAAATCTTTACTCACAAATTATTTGTAATATCGTATTATTAAAAAAAAAAAAAAAAATATCTATATATATACACGTATTTGTTATGTTTAACATTTTATAAGGATGAGTCCATCGTTGGCCGCCATTATGATTCCGTCGATGACGATTTCATTTATTCAAACTTTGTTTTCACGATATTTACCTGATTATTACATATATATATATATATATATGTGTGTGTGTGTATATGTGGTTTGTGTGTATATATGTATGTATGCATATATGTATGTATGTATGTATGTATATGTATGCATAAATTTAACATGGATACTGAAATAAAATGTTAAATATCGATGAAATATTCTCGATTAGTCTCGAACGATCTACTGGAAAATTTTTTTTGCTAATTGTATAGTTCGACGAACAGGGCCGTATTAATTATAAGGCAAATTACGAGCAATATGATTGTGGGGGGGGGGGAAAGACAATACTTCTTTATTCGCCGACAGTTGTACCAATTTATTTATTTTTTTTTTTTTCTTTTTCCCTTTAAATGTAAATATATGCATATCGCCACACGTAAACACAGAAACACAGAAACACACATACGATGTTGTGTTATTTTTGTCTTATTGAAATGTATTATTACGGAAATATTTTGATTATCATGGTCGGCATTTGTTATGATTTGCAAAAATTAAATGACGACAATCAGGAAGTTTTATTTCATTATGCGAATCGAATTATAACATGAACTTTTTTTTCTTCTTTTCATTGAACGATCCAAGATAATTTCGTTTCATTAGAATCGATTAGAATCGTCGTTGATACATATAAAGGATTTCTATTTTATCTTAATAAACGATATTTTATTTCGAATTATATTTGTCTTTTAATTATATAAAAAAAATTAATTAAATCGATTAATTAATGTTAACTTAATATCTATCGATGCAATTTAATATCTGTATTTTGAATTACATTACAGAAGAGAGTGAGAGAGTGAGAGAGAGAAAAGAAAAAAAGAAAAATAAATTTTTCTATTCTAATTGAATGAATGAAATATAATTTTGTTTACAACAACCATACGTTTAATCGATCTATTAATAATGTATATATAAGCTAGAATATATTCCTGTGACTAATGTCACCGTATCCGATGTTTATCAAATTGTTGATGAAATAAATTGCATCATGATCCATGATTATTAATACAGTATATAAGGTGGGAATAATCATTTAAAATGATTAATTATAGTTAATATTAATAGTTAATTTCTCTGAAATATCTTAATTATTGAATGATCTTATTGGAAAAAATTATTAGGCGATACAAAAAGTTACAATGTTTAAAACTATAATTTTTTTCTTTTTTTTTTTTTTTTTTTTTTTTGTTCTACCCTTTTAAACGAGAAAATATATATTTTTTATTACAGCAATTAGATACGGCACGTCATTTTGTATAAAAAAAAAAAAAATAATAAGTGTTGAACTATTTATTACACGTAAAAGGAGAAAAAAATAGAAAGAAAAAAAAAACTAATAATAATTTATATTAGGAAATAATTAGATTAAAATAATTCTTGAATTAATGAATTAATTAATTTTTTTGAAATATATGGGTTAACACCTTTTCTTTTACTTTTTTTATTTTTTTATATAGAGAATTACAAATCGTATCGATTAATACATTTAAAAAACGTATGATTTCCATTAAAGAAAAAAAGAAAAAGAAAAAAAAATAGCGTTTACATCGAAATCTGTAAATTAATTACATCGAATAACATCTCAATATTTTTTTGGCTTTTTTTCTTTTTTTTTTTCAACTACATCAACAAATTTCTAAGTACAAATATGCGTATGCTAATATTTAAAAATATCTTTCGAACGTACATGGATCAATAACGATAATCGAAAATTATATTAGCAAAGATAGATCAGATCGTGGATGATCCTTTCTAACTGCTGAGCTAATTTTAGGGTGAAAAATGTGACATATAATGGTACTAAAGGGCTACCGTACTATCATTAAATGAATCATCAGCACATGACGTTCGTATATTTCAATGAAACATAATCGTTCGATTTTACGAAGTAGACCCTAGAGAATATTATTATTATTATTATTATTATTATTATTATTTCTTTTTGTTTTCCTCATTCGTTTATAAATTTATTTTAATAATCGTAACAGATAACTATACAGTGGCTTGATTGGTATTCGTTGAAAATTTGAAAGATTACTTCAAGGAAAGGAAAAAAAAAAAATTTATATATATATATATATATATATATATATATATATATATATATATATAAAAGAAAAAGGGGTTGTCTTTTTTTTTTTTTTTCATTGTAATAGTATATATTAAATGACTGTTTTTTTTTTGCTTTTTTCTTCTAATAGTACAAATTAAATGAATTTAATTCTTTTTTTTGTTGTTTTTTTTTTTTTTTTTTGACAATACAGATTAAATGATTTTTTCTTTTTTATTTATTTATTATATATATATATATATTTGTTTTTCTTAAAATTCATTTGCAAATTCATTGTAAAGTCAATTTAGCCGTGCCCAACTATATAAATTATACATTCAAGAGAAGAAACTAGAATCTGATGCAATATCTATTCAAAATGTTGTCATGTCGGCGGAATTCTTTTTTCTTTCCGTGTAACAATTTGTACATCAATATAAATGGGAAAATTTTATTTAAAAAAAAAAAAAAAAAAAAAAAAGAATGTCGAACGACGAGATAAGGAATTACTTATAATCTTGCCTTTTAAATAATTTCCAACAATACGATAAATAAAGATTGACATAATACCATGTAAATTTGAAAATTCGCAAATCCCAATTTTATGATTCCGATTCTATCATTTTGAAACATCTTACTATATTATTTTGTTTTTCTTACAAAATTTGAATCTTTTCAAAAGTTTGGACAATTCTCCGTCTTTCTTTTTGCTTTTTTTTTTTTTTTTAGAAATAAATATGCCGTTAGATTATACGTTGCGTTTAATTAAAAGGTCATCTCCATCTCAACGTTTATCGTTTATTAATAGAATAGATTTATGAAATTTGTTTTTTTTTTTTTTTTTTTTTTTTTTTATTATAAATTGTAAAAGTTTAATTACAACGGATAATGATAAATTTTTATCTGAAGTGACGTAAGTACGAAAATTTTGTTTGATTTTTTTTCTGTTTTGTTTTCTTTTTGAGATTATTTATTATACAATATCTCGAGTGCACGATTTATATTAGTCTTTATCGAAATAAATTAAGAAAAAAAAAAAAAGAAGAAAGAAAGATAAAAATAAATACAAACAAAACATTTATCTTATTCTTATTTGTATATATATATATGTAGTATTTGTATACGCATAAACTAATTTATACATTAAAAAAAAAAAAAAAAAAAAAAAAAAACAAATAAATATTGCTATTCATAAATTTATGAAAAATCTATCTACATTTATAAATATATGCGCGTATGCAATAGTGTGTTATCAATAATGAAAATAATTATAATTTTATTTTTTTTTCTTTTTTTTTTTGCATAACATTCCTCCATATCGATTTCGTTTTTTCGACTTTTATTGATCATTCCATTAAATTGCAATAATCTTTTCTTTCCTTTTCTTTTTTTTTTTTTCAATCATCTAATCATTAAATTTCTAAAAGATTAATATATTTCGTTTTAATTTGTAGATATGCCATTATTGATATACTTTAGTTTGAACCTATATTTATTAATGTACTTGAATGTTCAGAAAGTTCTGTGATACTAACTCTTCCACGTCGTTTAATAAATTTTACAACTGCATCGAGTTCACTTTCTGTAATATAAATGAATTTTCCTTGATCGTCTATTACTCCGGTTAAATCGCCTGTTTTTTGCCACTCCAAAATCTTATCGACGACGAATGTCGTCTTTTGTGAAAAATGTGCAGCCACATCGTCTAAATATATTACTTTCTTTAATTTTATATATTCCATAATGTCGTCCAATAAAACATTTTGATCCTCTTGAAAACCTTCCTCATCTACGCTAAACATCTCTTTCATTTTTAAATATTCCTCGTGTTCCTGTTTTTCCTTTAATTCTCTAAGTTTTCTAGCTTCCTCCTCTTGACGCATTTCTTCATCATGTTCCTCTTCACGTTGTTTATCCCTCTCTTTCTGTCGCTTTTCTTCTTCCTTTTTACGTTTATCCTGTTCAACTTTATCCATTTCCCTTTGCACTTTCTTTTCAGCTTTAGCTGCTAATTTTGCACGTTTCTTAGCACCAATTTTACCATCAGATACCTCAATAGGTGTATCTATTTCAACTTCGTTATTCTCTAATTGTCCATTATCATTTGCATTTATATGATCATTTGTTCCGGCATGTAAACGATGACGAACATTTCTATTACCGACTATTCGTCTAACTTGTCGACGTTCAACAGCATGATCCTGAACATTAGCTCTTTCTTTGTCTATAGCTATATAACAAGGATTTATTTAATAACGTTATTTGACGTATATATATGTTAAAACATTGATATTATAAAAGTACCATAAGTTGTGGATAATGAAAAATTAATAAAAAAAATAATGAAATAAAATCTTACCTCTATTTCGACTAAGATATATTGTTAATGCGGTTATTAAAAGTGTAATAACTATTACACAAAGTATTAATAATAATATATCCATTGTTTCAAATAATATTACAATATTTTCATCAAAGAGGTTAACTTTACACAAGGAAGAATAAAGTTATTATATTGTTACTATAGATGGCTGTTCTATCGCTTTTAATATGAATTTTAATCGAAAGATGGAGCTTCGTAACATTACCGACTGAGTAAGAATATTATTTTTTTTGTTAATATTTTTCTTTATTATCGACACATTACGAATCGTCGATAAAATGATTTAATAGAAAATAATAAATTTATATGAAATAAATGAAGTCATTTATCTTATCGATATTGTAAGTGATCAATTTCCAATTTGTTATATCGATTATATCACTTTTATCTATCATGAAGAATCATGATTAAAGATCTTTGGTTATATGTTAATATATTATATAGAATATTAAAGTTTAAATCATAGAAAAATAAAGTAAGTATTTTTAAAACTTTAAAAAACGAATACGATGGAAATTGACGATCCAAATCTTAAAGAAGGAAATGGAAAATTTTCTTTTTTAAACGGGGACACCTATGATGGAGATTATACATTGCATTTAATTAAAGGCACCTTATTCAAAAATGGTTAACGTCAATATTTTATTATTAAATATATATATATATTTAATATTAAATATTTATTATATTTATATGTATTTATATATATATTTATTTTATTATATATATATTATTATATTTATAAATATTTATATTAAATATTTATTATATTTATATATATTTATATATATTTATATTAAATATTCGTAATTTAATATTTAATATTTAATATATTATATATATATATATATATATATATATATATATATCAATAAATTATAATCTCTCGTTCGATAAATATTATTTAGGTGATGGAGTATACATTACGGACGATTTCAATACATATAGCGGTAAATGGAAAGATGATAACTTTGCTGATGAAGACTTTTTCATTCAGTAAGTAAACGATTACAAACATATATAGGTTAATTCATAAATTAATCGTCAATTGAATATCTAATTTGTTAGAAACAAACGAAGAAAAAAAAGCAATATATATATATCAAAAAAATTGTTCGTGATAATACATGTTAAATATTTTAATACTACATACCCTATATACTACTTTTTTTATAAAGACGAATAATTAAAATATCTAATTAATATGAAAGAATAAAATAAATGCGATTAAATCATAGGTCGAATGTTTTTTAGTTCGTACTTTAAAAATATATTTAATAAATACATACATACATGCACACGCACACACACACACACACACACACATATATATATATATATATATTTTTTTTTTTTTTTTTCTATTGCTTTTAACAAAATAAATATTCAATTAACATAAAATTTATAATCGACTTCAGCCAATATAAAGATATCTATCCAATTGTTTTATTTATTTCGTCAGACATATTCGTCGTATCGTTATTATCACGTATTATTATTACATATATATTTTTATAACTGTAAAAGACATAACAACGGAACTCGATATAATGGTGGAATTAATGCGTATGGACAGATGACTGGCAATGGTATATATTATTTTCCCGACGATTCATCGATAAAAGCAATATGGTACGAAAATAAACCCGTTACCGAGATTACTTATCAAGATTCACTTGGTTACGTTTGGATCGTCGAAAGTATTAAAGATGACGTAAGAAAATATCAAAAATATTATATCAATTTATATATATAGGATGTCCAAAAAAACATGAAACTAAATTTATGCTAAATTATTATTCGGGATCAAATTGATGAAAAAAGTTTGTATAAATTTATGTTTACCTTTAAAGATATTTCTGATTTATTTTCATTCATTCGTCGAATTAATGATTGTCGAACTTTTTCTTTCTTTTCTTTTTTTTTTTCTTTTTCTTTTTCTTTTTCTTTTTCCTTTTTTTTCTTGTAACGTTTATTCATGGACTCATGCAAATCACATTCGTTTATAAAACTACGTATAGAAATAGATGATTAATTATGCATTTACTATTATTTTCAATAGAATTGATATGTTAGAAAGCTTTTAGAAAATCAATAATAATTCGACTGTATGAAAGTGTTCTTGCAAACGGGAGAAATTTTCATATATTATTTTATTTTCGTGCAAATTTTCACAAATTTTCTTATAACTGCCACAATAAATCGTAAATATCTTTAAAATATATATTTTTAATCAAACATTTTTGAATATAAGTTTACAAGAACATTTTTTTCTTTCATCCATTTGATCTCAGTAATTACGTAGTATAAATTTGATCCTATGCATTTTAAACACCCTGTATAAATATATATATATATATATATATATATATATATATATATAAATATAAATTGATATGCATAAATTAATATGTATATGAGTTAAGTACAATTAATATTTGTTTTCTTTTATTTTTTTTGTTTTTTTTTCCCCTTTTGTTTTTTGTTTCGTAATTCCAGTCAATATACTTTATGCCTAGCAATCATTTTTGGATTGAAACATGTCGAGAAACGTCGTCCGATAATGTTCACGAGCAACCATCGTTATCCAAATTTATCCAGAATGTCGACTTAGTTGTTGACAATCCTTCAAATAAATAATCTCAATTGATTCGACTTATTTTATAATAAAAAAAAAAATTTCCTTTCGATCATTCATTCTTTCATTCATTAAAAATTCAATTATGAATTCTCATTGAACAACGGTGGTACGTTGAATCGTGTCGTCGCTGGTTTAAATAATGGATTTTCATCCAAACAATATACCGTCCTTTGCCTTTCCTGTTCGAATTTAACGTATTCCCTTTTATCCTGTATCGCAATCCAACATCTGTATATTAAGAAAAAAAAAAAGAAGAACAAAATTATAAAAAATGTATATAACAAACACAATCATTATCATATATATCATATATGTATATATATATATATATGATAATGCTTGTGTTTGTTATTAGGTTGGAAACTATGAAACGGGCGTTTTTGTTTAGTTATTTATTTTCATTCAACGCCCGTTTCATAGTTTCCAACCTAATATATACATTTTTTTGTAATTTATTATATATATGGTCTGTAATATATATATTTTGATTTTTAGTTTGTTATATATATATATATATGATATATATGATAATGATTGTGTTTGTTATATACATTTTTTTGTAATTTTATATATATATATATATGATAATGATTGTGTTTGTTATATACATTTTTTTGTAATTTTATATATATATATATATATATATATATATATATATTACATCATATATATATTTATATATATATATATATATATATCATATATCATATATGTATATGATAATGATTGTATTTGTTACATAAATTTTTTTGTAATTTTATATATATAGATATATAAAATAATATTTATATATATATATGTAATTTTATATATATATATATCATATATCATATATATTTTTTTTTATATATATATATAATTTTATATATATATATATATATATATCATATATCATATATGTATATGATAATGATTGTATTTGTTACATAAATTTTTTTGTAATTTTATATATATAGATATATAAAATAATATTTATATATATATATATATATATATATATATATATATATATATATATATCAGAACGAACGACAGATTTAAAAATCTAATGATTTTACTTGTAAAAAAAGATATTTCATGCTAATATCTCTTATATATATATATATATATGTATATTACTTACTTCCATATGCATAAACCAACAATGCCCATGATCATTATTGCGAGAAATATAATTCCCGGTATCAAAGCCACGTGTAAGGACGTACGACAAGACTAGAATGAAAGAAAAAAAAAAAATAATAAGAAAAAATAAATTACAAAAGATCATTAACGATAAGAGGAAAACAATTTTTTAAAGAAGACAACATGTTGATGTTCTGGTTGTTATCGAAAAAAAAAAGAAAAAAGAGAGAGAAACGTAAAATAGATCAGGCAATTACCTTATCAGCGATCATTAATGTCACCGTGTTATCCTTGTTGAAATGATAAATGTAAGGAATAATACATGTTGTTCTATCCTTGACAGTTCTAATGAAGCAATAATGTTCGTTTCCTGTAAATTAATGAATAACATTGGAATAATTTTTCATAAATTAATTAATCGAGATATCTTAAGGTCGTAAGAGTGAACGATGGATATTTCGAAATTCATAATTTTTTTCTTTAAACTTTTTTTTGTAACTTTTTCTTTCTTCCTTTTTTTTCTGGTTTTTTTTTTCTTTTTTTTTTTGTTTTAACCTTTAGATTTACTTTAGTAGAATGAAATGTAAAATAAAAAAATCAAATACTCTCTCAGAAGAATAGATATACGCTATCATTGTTTCGATGAGATTTAATTGAAAATTAATTTAAGATAACAATTAAAATTAATACAAAGAATAATTAAAAGCAATCGATTAAGAAAGTAGAAAAACAAAGCAAAAAGTGTAAGTAAAGAAAGAAACAAACAAAAAAATATGCTCTATCTCTCTCTCTCTCTCTCTCTTAATCGTAAACTATATTGGTGTGTTAAATTTTTGAAAAGAAAGAAAAAAAAAAAAAAAAGCAAATAAAAGAAAAAAAAAATATCCATCGTAAATCTTCATAAAAATTATTTGTAATATCTGTAAATCATCGAAGAAAATCTTTTTGAAATATTTATATATCGATATAAAAAAATCATACGAAAATGTAAACATTGTGAATTACGTATGTACGTTTGTAAATTTATAGAATTCAAACGGAAGATTATTGTGTTTACCTGTATCGACACTATCCACTCTTTGAATTTGATAGAAACTTGTATTGGTATGACACAGTTCTTCAGCATCTTGTGAAATCTCTACGGTGGCATTAACACAAGAATTATAAAGAACGCAAAGATCGCTACCGCCAGAGCTCGCTGATGATTCGCAAAATGTTCCACGATAATATAGGCCATCGGGTGCTGTTGTATTGCATCTTAAAATAAAATGCATTCGTTAACGATATATAACGTAATTTATTATTAATAATTTACAATATTTGATGTAAAAATTGATGTAATGTTTGATGTGTAATACTTAAGTAACCATGTCGATGATTTTAATGGATAATTTTTTATTCGACAGAGAAGAAAAAATAAAATAAAAAAAGAAAAAAAAGAAAAAAAAGGAAAGAAAAAAATAATTAATTCGTACGTACCTACAATGTCCACAATCGCAATAACCATGATTACCACAAATTTCATCGCTTCCTGGTGCTATGCACAGATTATTGTCCGAAGGACACTGACAACCATCTCCTTTCCAACCGTCAATGCAATTGCATATACCGCATTCACAAGTACCACGTCCACCGCATTCTATACCGTCAGTCTAATGACGAATATTAAAAAAACAAAATGATAACAAAATGATCATCAAATATGGTTACTAATTTTTATAAATTATAAGTTTTTATGAACCGACTTTATACAAATATACATATACATTTATATATATATATATATATATTTTTTTTTTATTGTTAATATAATAATACTTAATTTTATTATTTAATTACGTTTTTATATATTATTATATATATATATATTTATTATATATTTTATATATACGTATATATATATTTTAATTATTAATATAATAATAATATAATAATATAATGTAATATTATTAATATAATAATACTTAATTTTATTATTTCATTACGTTTATATATATATATACATATATTTTAATTATTAATATAATATTAATATAATAATATAATGTAATATTATTAATATAATAATACTTAATTTTATTATTTAATTACGTTTTTATATATTATTATATGTATATATATATATATATATATATTTATTATATATTTTTATATATACGTATATTTATATTTATATATATTTATAATTTATATATATATATATATATATATATATATATATATATATATATATAAATTTTCGTGAATCGGGAAAAAATTTTCAAGAATCATCAAGTAACTTTCGAAAATCGTCGAAAAAAACTTTCGGCAAAAATAGTATTTTGAATGAATATAAAAAAAATTAACTTTTTATATATTCCTTTCTAAAGAAAAAAAAAAACTAACTTTGTACTTAATTATACGATTTTAATATTAATTATATAATAATTAATCATATATACATATATATTATTTATTTCATTACCTTGTCGCAAGGGGAACATTCGCAGTACTGTCCTTTGTAACCAAGGTCGCAACTGCATCTACCGCAAATGCATTCACCCCTTCCTGAACAAGCATCGTTTGTTCCGTCAAATTCAATGCATTGTAAACGATTAACGAGCCACGAACTTTCGTCGCAATCGCAGGTCTCTCCTGAGGAAATAAAAAAAAAAAAAAAAATTAAAAAAAAATACAAAAAAGAAGAAAAGAAAAAACAAGAAAAAAACAAAATTCTCATTTCAGAATTTATTATTCGGTGTTTGATTAAATCAAAATTGAGCCTGTGGAACGTAGGCACATACTTATATCAACTTTGAGCTCAATTAAAATAATTTGCTCGTTACGTATGATTCATGAATTTTTTTTTTTTCTATGATGACAAAATTGAAAATACCTTTTCAAAAATCCTAATGATTATTATTTCACTTCAGGCTTCAAAGAATAAATATACAATATTTTTTTTTCCAATTAAAATTATTCATTCCATATATGAATGACAGCTGTTCAAAGCTGTACCTTAGAGTACTTAACGCATCCACAAGTGTACAATTTGAAATTATTTTGAAGATATTATACACAACAATTAGAGTTAAAAAATAGAAGAAGGGAGAGAGAGAGAGAGAGAGAGAGAGAAAGTAAGGAGATTAAAAATCTTACCAGACCATCCAGAATCGCATTTGCATATACCGCATTCGTTAACGCCATTTTTACAATGCGAACTCTTCTGTTCTTTGCAATTGCAACCGCACAACAGTTCCACCTCGACGATTATTTCAGATGCCTCTGACGCCAACGCGTCGTCTATTACCACTGTTTGTTTCTATTTAGGACACACACACACACACACGCACATATATATATATATGTATATGTATATATACAGGATGTTCAAAAAGTATAGAACCAAACTTATATTATTGAGATCAAATGGTTGGAAAAAAAGTTCGTATAAATGCTTTAATGAAAAGATATATTTCCTTTTAAAGATATTTATGATTTATTGTGGCATTTATAAGAAATGTTTGTAAATTTATTCCTTCGTAAGAATGCAGACTTTCATTCGTCGTATTAATGATTTTCCAAAATCTATCTAATATATCGATTACATTGGAAATAATAGTAAATGCATTTTGAATAGATTTTCAAAGTTCATCTTCTGTTTCTTTTATAAATCAATGTGATTTGTGTGAACCCATGAATAGAAATTCGGAGGAAAAAAAAGAAGAAAAGGAAGAAAAGAAAAAGAAAGTAAGAAAAAATTTGACAATTGATAATTCGACCAATGGAAATAAATCATAAGTATTTTTAAAAAACTGACAACTTTGTTCATCCATTTGAACTTATAATAATACGTAGTATAAGTTTGGTCCTATACTTTTTGGACACTCTATATATATATATATCTATATATATATATATATATATATATATATATATATATATATGTGAACCGTTCACAAGCCAAATTGATTAATATATTTTTCAAATTTTTTAGATTTAAATGTTAATGTCACTTGATGTAATCCCGACATTTTATATTCATAAATAAATTTTAGCGAATTTTCTTTATTTAAATGTCATTAAATAAAAATATAATTAAATAACAAAATTCATTTTTATCATCATAGAATTTATTTCATAACCCAATAGAATTAATTCTGTACTAATGAGACGTATTATAAAATATTTGCAATAATGCAATTTAAACGCATAGACGTGGCCTTCGTACATTTTTACAATGCTTGTTCGAATTTATATTTTAATACTTTATTTTTTTATTTTTCTTTTTCTTTTATTGAGTTAATCGATTTGTCAAATAGAACGATTCATATATATACATAAATATGTATATGTGTGTGTGTGTGTGTGTGTAGATTCAAGGAGAATATTTTTTCACACTCGAGATGATGGGAGATTAGAAAAATAATAAATAAATAAAATATAAATAAATAAATAAATAAAAAATAATCATTGTCCTTTTAACGTTATAATATTATCGATTTTCAAGTTGATTTGCATAACCGTATGGTGCATGTTTTCTTTCTTTTCTCTTTTTTTTTTTTTTTCTTTTTTCTTTCTTTCTTTCTTTCTTTCTTTCTTTACGTGTAAATATTCAATTGACATATTTACTTACTCACCCAAAGGCTTTCATTCCTTGGACATGATTCCATCGAAAAGACGACCTTGAACTCGTAAACCTGACCTTCCTGAATGCCATTACATTCGGCTTTGTTTACGATAAGAGAATCGTTCCTTCCGCAATTCGAAAAATATTCTAACTTTAATGGATTGGTTGAGTTATCGCGTAAAACCAATTTCGAAATTATTTCATGATAAGAACTTTCGATGATTTCTAATATATTAGAACTGTTAGCCGCTAGAGTAGCAACTCTAGCTTTCTCTTTTAATAAATCGGATATCAATTCGTATTCTTCACGGCGATCCTCCGTAACTGCAAATATCAAATTGACTTTATGATCGTGAAGTAATCTCGATATTTCAGCTAACGACGGATAATCGTATTCCTTAGCAAGAGAATATTGACCATTTTTATCTAAATGACATTTAAAGTCCTGCCGATTTACGGCTCCTCCTAACTGAAAGGAAAAAAAAAATATTTCTAATTTAAATAGTCATTGATAATAGCCATTGATTTATTTATTTGATATTAAATGGATCAGAGAACAATTAATTGATTATAAATTTTCATTATTTTTCAACGATAATATCATTCATGTAATATCATTATTATTTCATTTGATGTATTATTAATTAAATTAAATAATCATTTATAATTATCAATCATTTATTATGATCTTTATAATTATTAATTAATATATAAATTATAAACGACAATGAAATTATTAATTATAACAAAATTATATTATAATCATTATAATTTTTAATTAAATTATAATTATTATTATGGTTATCATTTAAATTGTAATCATTATGATTAAACGTTATATTATAGATAATATATTTATTAATTGATTAACAATCGAATTATAATTATTATAATTTTCAATCAAATTATAGTTATTACATAATTATTTATTAAATTATAATTATTATTATCAACAAGGTGTAACACAATTATTATAACTATTAATTAATTTTGAATTATTAATTTTAAAATTAATAATGAAATTATATTGAATTCATAATTGAATTATAATTATTATCAATCATATTAACAAATTAATAATTATCATATAAATACGAATAAATAAATAAATAATTACTTTACCTTTCCTTCCCCGGCAAAATGTAAATATCCATCGGTAGCAAGAAGCATTAATTTTCTTGCTTGATGTCCCCAGCCAATAACGTCCTCGCAAACTATAGCTTGAATTACACCGTCAAGGCCACCTTCCAAATTATCCACGTTACCTGTGACGTCGCTGTTGTTTACCTTTATTTATTTATTGTTTATTTGTTTTTTTTTTGTTCAATAAAAACAGAAATCCCACTCCCTCCCCCCATCCTCCCTCGTGTTCATTAATCGATATCTTTCGTCATCGTAAAAGCATTAGATTTATGATATAATCAAATATTAATAATTATTATATAATTATTAATTTCTATTATTATTGATTTAAATTATTAATCAATTAAGTAATTAATTATGTAATTAATTAATCATAATTATTACATACCTTACGTACGAATTGATCGACATCTCCTGTCAATGGAAGATGATGTTTAAATGAATAAAGTGGTGCGCATGTAGCGTACTCGCTTCTACAAGGATTATTTTCATGTCCTGGAAATATAAATGGCATCAATGGCTTATCGGCGTAACTACCAAATCCAAGACGAAAATTGTCAGTAAATGTTCCCAAGGTGTCCGTCATTTTTCGACTCAAACCAACTAGGGTATCCTTGTCGTCCTTCATCGACCATGTTAAATCCATTAAATAGTACAAATCCAAAGGATAATTTCTGTTAATCGAAAGGAGAAAAATAATTATTCGATTGAAGTAAAGAAGACAAGAAAAAAAAGGAAATATAATGGGAGATATATTAATGTAATACATAAAAAAGAAAAAAAAATAAATAAATAAATAAAATGGAAAACAATATAAAAGAATAAAAAAAAAAAAAACAAAATAAATTATATTCGCAA